CTTTGCGACTTGTCAGAACCTTGGAAAAGTTATGAACAAGGATGCTACACCCGAAATGTGGACACATTGGCTGAGTGAAGATGCAGACAACAAAATGCCGAATTCATAGTGAAAATGAAAAAACAAGGGATAGATATCATTCGAGATTGGAGCACTAATTAATCTATTGGAAAAGCTCCGAAATGTGAATTACTGGCCTCCTAGTATTACAGTGAGACATTTCAATTTCTCAAAATATGCAAGCAAGGATTTTCTAGAAGAAATGCCATGAAGACAGCCACTGATCCAGGGCCAATCAAAAAGTTATTCCATATGATTTATCAAAATATGAGAGGCCTGCGTACAAAATTGGAACATTTCAATAAAATATTGCATGCCAGAATGTGTTGTTGATATCAGAAACTTGTCTGAATGAGCCTTTTTATGACAGCACACTGGGCGATTCCAGATACAACATTTTCCGCAATGAAAATATACCAAATGGTATGGAGTGATGATCCTATCCCAAAAGCAATATTTCCCAGAGTTGATTGCTGAAAGTTGTAATATAAACTCTGACTGGTTCTTAGTAACTGTGAAATTAGGGAAAAATCAGATTTCAATATGTTGTGTGTGTCCCACCTAACGCCAGTAGGGAAGTATATAGTACAGTATGATGCAAATGTATGGAATAAATTCATTATTTCAGAAATGGGCGACATTTGAAAAAATTCCAAAAACACGTGAGGTTTCATTTTTGAAGCCTCATCTCATGATATCCATATGAGAGATGTTACGTCACCGGTGTTGGAGTAATGACGTAATGAACGATTTTTTCAAATGAAAACAGGGGTCATGTGACACCCCGTTTGAAAGGTCTACTGATCATCTATTCAACAGTCAAAATCTTGCATAAGAAAATTGAAATTGAAATGGATTATCATTTGATTAACTGAATCGTGCAGAGGTCTGCTAATGAGAATTGAACAACGAAGGGTCGTCTATTCAAAAAAATACATCAATTAATAAAGTTCTGAAATCTAGTTTTTGGATTTTTTTCGAAAGTCGTCTTGTTTTGAAATGAATTTATTCCATACATTTGCATCATACTGTATAATGAGTTGATACAATCACTTGAAGATTTGAATGAATTGAACTGTTGTGATTTCATCTATATTGTATATTTTAATATTCCTGAGGTGAATGGCACATAATTCAACTATAAAAACTGCATAGGCTGTAGCATGTGAATTTTCAAGATTGATGAGTCTTGTATATTATTCAATACTGCTGAGCACACATAACATAAAGATAAATCAAATTCCATCATATTATTTCAGGCCTGATATGTGGGTACACACCAAAGATTTCACATTGTATATAAGGAACATACTATTTCAATCAAGATATTGATATCTGTTACTATAAGACTACTTTTTCAAAACACCGTGATGAACCTTCCTTCCGTCATTATATGGAATGCCTGAAAATATTAGGCATACCGCATGTGAAGTTATTACCTCGGTTATTACGCTGTTTGCCGGCAATATGTGAAATGACTAGGCATTTCAGGGAATGATGAATTTCACTAATTGGCACTGACATATACACGACTATTGAACTGCCATTATTCTGCATTATAGAGAGGACTGATGATCAAGCAGATAGGAATTGATTAGGAATTTGAATTGAATCAACAGTAAACCAACGAATGAAAGAAGTTTTTGTGATCAAAGGGCCTTTCAAAATCACAAAGGTTAATTATATGGATAATATTTTAGCATAAGTTCATTCTCAAAATTAGTTGAAAGCTGAACATACTGAAGTGATATTAAATATCAAATTACGTGAAGAGTATGGAGAGTATGGGCCACGGTGTCCGAGCGATCTAAGGCGCTCAAGTTCGCAAGACAACCGTTCATGATAACAAGGTTCGAATATGGTTCGACTGAGCATTTTTCTTATAATCCTGGCAGTACCTCGACGCCCTGAAAATGATTCGAAATCCACTATGGGCTGTAGGTACCGCCTTATCTAACCTCGCACAAGATTCGGCTTCTCAGGAGTTGGCTCCCAAGTAGCGATATGCAAATCTTACAAAGGATACCGCACACTTTAATAGGGAAAGTGGCCCCCTGTCGAATTGGCTGAATTTTTGATAAGTTATAGTCCAAGTCATTCCAAACAAAAAGTTCAATGGGCACAACTTTTTCTATAGGCTAGTTTTGGCGCTAGAGGCACCTGAAAACTTTCATTTGTTCTTCATTGTTATACAACACGGAACGGTATTTTGGGTAATAATCACTATTCTGCATCATCAAGATCTAAACAGTCATCAATATCAGATACTATCGGAAGTATTTTTCTTCGGTGTTGGTATATTTGGTCAATTATACAGTGTGTTCTAGCTCTAGCTATACTTACAACTTCCAAAGCTCAATAATTCGAAAATGGTTACAAATCGTCTTAGGGATCTACAATGAGAAAATGTTTATGAATCCTATCCTACATCGTATTCTACATCACATAGTCAAAAAATATAAGGAGTGTTCATTGTAAAAGAAAGCGAAAGTTCTAACATTCGAAAAATTCCGTACCTACTATTGATATATTCTCAGATGGGACACCCTGTGAGTTATTAGATGAATAATTAGGGTTCAGTCAAGGGTTTTCTATTATACAGGGTGTTTCATGAGAAGACTCACATAGCCAAATGGTTAATAGGGGAAATCAAGACGAATTGATGTATATGAATGAAAACATTTTTTGACCCCCCATAACGAAGATACAGGGTATTATGCGAAGTTGTTATATAACTTTGATGGCCGATATTACAGAAATGATTCATCGTAATCTGCTGAAATTTGGCAGCGACGTTCCTCTACTGAAACTATTCAAGATAACATTATGAAAAAAAATATATTCAGGTCCGGAAAATTTCATGTTTCATTGTTATGTCAAAAAAGTTCTCTTTGTGACCACTTTTCTCGAAAAATTCCATCAGATTCAGAAAGATCAGACAAAATGCTATAAGAACTGCTCTTCAATTCACACGGCACACTTTGACCGGTTCAACAAAAAAATATGGAACAAAATCGTTCGAATAAATTTTGAATTTCGACCTGGCTGATAACTGTCAACTTTCAACTGGTATCATGTGGATTGATTTTTCGTACATTTTTGTTGAATAGTTATTGACAGAAGTATATACGAGAGAAAAAAACACGATATTTTTTTATCGAAATTCCGGATAGATATTATTATTCCTGACTTTGTTTTATGGGTTTCAATAATTGAAGTAATGATAAAATATCTAGTAGGCCCTGTTTTCCATTTATGTGACGACTTGACGAGACGTGACGTTTGTTGATAATCCGAACTGATAGGTAGGTACTAGGCTAGTACTAGGTAGGTACCAACTGATGGAATTAGATTCATGTACCCATATTATGGTGATTCATCAAATTAGTTATGCCATCACGCATAAACACAGTTCCATTTTTGGTTATTGATACACTTCTGCAAGTGATATAAGGATGCATTAGCTATTTATTCGAAATTCCTTGTTCATCCTTGTGAAGGTTTTACTGCAATGTATTCTTGGGTCTGGAAATATTCTATGGTATTAAACATACAATAATCGCATTTAAATTTTCGTCTTGTTCAGCATTTGAAATATGAAGTGGCACCTAGAGTGCAAGAATATTTCGATTACCAGTGTTTACTTATCAACAAACGCCACCTTACATGAAGTAAACACAGGGCCTACTTTATAACAAATTAATAATATAGAGTCACGAGTAATCATATCCATCTAGAAGTTCGGTGAAAAACTAACATGTCAAATCATAAAAAAATCAGAACTATTCTCTTCTGTCAATTTCTAACTAATGAAAATGTACAAAAAAATCAATGTACACGAATCCAGTTGAAAGTTGAGAGTTATGAGCCAGGTCCAAATTTAAAATTCATTCGAACGACTTTGTTCCATATTTTTTTATCGAACCGGTCAAAGTGTGCCGTGTAAATTGAGGAGCAGTTCCTATAGCATTTTGTCTGATCTTTCTGAATCTGATGGAATTTTTCGAGAAAAGTGGTCACAAAGTGAACTTTTTTGACATAACAATGAAACATGAAATTTTCCCAAGTCCGGACCTGGATATATTTTTTTTCATAATGTTATCCTGAATAGTTTCAGTAGAGAAACGTCGCTGCGAAATTTCAGCAGATTACGATGAATCATATCTGTAATATCGGCCATCAAAGTTATATAGCCATTTCACATAATACCCTGTATCTTCGTTATGGAGGGTCAAAAAATGTTTTCATATATATACATCAACTCGTCTTGATTTCCCCTATTAACCATCTGGCTATGTGAGTCTTCTCATGAAACACCCTGTATAGGGTCGACGATACCAGGTTGAATGAGTATACGTTAAATGTAACATATAATTGAGTTATAGCCCATTATTTTCTCCATATTACATTTATACTGAATGTGCGACTAGAGGCTTGGTTGACTTAGGAGGAATTTTTCCGCTATACTCCTTGAGCATCAATATACTAATCATATTAATACTCATTCGACAAAACCCTATCAAATATACCACTTTGTTATATTTTTCATGAGTTCCACCATTAATTTGAAGTATTAATATAATATATGGAACACACTGTATAATTGATCTTCGCAATGAACAATACTTCCAATAGTATCTCATATTAATGACTGTTTTGATCTTGATTATGCAGAATAGTGATTATTACCCATAATACCGTTCCGTGTTGTAGAACAATGAAGAACAAATGAAAGTTTTCAAGTGCCTCTAGTGCCAAAACTAGCCTATAGAAAGAGTTGTGCCCATTGAACTTTCTGTTTGGAATGGCCTGGACTATAACATATCAAAAATTTTGCCAATTCGACAGGGGGCCACTTTCCCTATTGAAGTGTGCGGTATCCTTTAACGAACATTTTTTTCGTTTACTGAAGATTATTTATTCATTTCATGATTACTCACATTCATCATAAAATCCATAAATCCTATTGATAGATGCACACTCGTGGTTTCCCCTTAACAGGAAGAAATTCTCTGGGTACTTGATTTTATAAGCAAGCAGCAAACAGATTGTCTCCAGCGACTGCTTTCCACGATCGACATAATCCCCGAGGAACAAATAATTCGCTTCAGGCGGGAAGCCGCCATATTCAAATAGACGTAGGAGGTCGGTGTATTGCCCGTGTATGTCACCACATATCTTCAGTGGTGCTTCAAGTTCAAGCAAGATAGGCTGTTGTAGAAATATTTCTCGCGACTTCAGGCATAGGCCGCGTACCTCTGCTTCTGTCATGTGCACAGATTTCCCTGGGCGACATCCTCTAACTGAAAAAAAAAAAGATAATAGTGATGATAAGATGTTGAAATACAAAAACCTTGTTTAATCTTGTTTACTTTACTTTGGATACAAAAGGAGTACTTTTATGACATTATTGCATCCCTGATTATGATTTAATGAAGTATCATATGTACTTCGTTGGTACACTTTCGAAGAGAAAGTGATGAAATTTCCAAAGTATTGTGTTTGTCATAGAAATTTATCATCTGGCACTGAAATCATACGAAAGTAGTTTGAAATAAGCCCTTTTTCTTCAAGAAGAACAAGGTATATTTCTGAACTAGACATAGGAAAACTGATTTCAGTGCCTGATGATCAATTTTTAACACAAACTGAAAATATTTTCATGAGAAGAGGAAATATTTGCCAATCAAATTATTTGTAGCCACTTTTCAAAAATGCACATTTACGAAAACAACTTGTAACTCTGAAAAGAAGATGATATCGATATGCGGTTTTCACCATTGTGTTTATTATGAGAATTGATCATCAAGCACCGACGTCAGTTTCCTTCTATTCGGATTCCAGTTCGAGACGATACACAGTCAATACACATTTGATGTGCTCTGTAGCATCACAGCCGTCTTCAACTAACAAGCCGTGAAGAAGCAGTCTGGCAACATTGTCCGAACGACCGAACTTGCACCTGTCGGCCATTCAAAGTGTATTGTGTAGGAAGTAAACAAGGAGTTTATGGAAGGTTTTTTAAAAGTTTTCAATTATTAATTGGTGTAATATTGAGGTCAAATAATTTTAAAAGTATTAGCAACAATCTAGGAATCGACTCGAGACTGAAAGTGTATGGCAAGTGCATTCAAAATTGTGTTAAATTGGAGGTTATAGTGAAGTGTACTAGTGCTGGTGTATTTGCAAGGGAATTTGTGTTGTTTTTCCAATTAACTCCTGGAAATAAGTAAGTTATTCATTATTCCTTATAAAATATGCCTTCTCATTGTTGTGTGCCAGGATGTAAGTCAAATTACAGCTCTGAAAAAAAGCTGGGAAAGGATCATGTCTCAGTTTTTTATTCCCAAAAGGGAAAGAATTGCGAAGTAAGTGGATAACAGCAATACCTCGAAAAAACTGGACACCATCTCAACGTTCTACAGTATGTGCAATTCATTTTATAGAAAAAGATATCATCATGTATGATACATTCCCTCTGCCAGATGGATCAATTGGAAAAAATTTGTTATGAGCACCAAAGTTAGTCAAAACAGCAGTTCCTTCAATTTTTCCAAATTTACCAAAATATTTTTCAAAACCAGCCAAACCATCAAGAACTGATCCAAATGAAAGACGTCAGAAATATTTAGATATTCAAAGTAATATAATAGAACAGTTTGAAAAATCAGACCTCATCCACAACTATGAACAGTTAGTTAGGGAATATGTTGACAAAGTTGAAATTGATACTTGGGAAATCCATAATAAATTGTATTTTCATGAATTAGATTTGCAAGCAAATGTTTTTTATCCCAATGATGTAAATACTTTACAAATTGTTTCTCAAGTTATAATATCCAATGAGATGGAGGTCCAAGTTTTTCTTGGTGAATTGAAATGGATATGAAATTGAATAGATGGTCACAACTTGAAAATATTCTAGCTAGATTCAAAAACATCTCAGATCAAACTGACAAACACTCAGATATGAATGAAAAATTCGATATCTCCATAAGTTTTATTTTAACAAAATGTTCAAAATTACGGCTTCAGTTCATGACCAAGGGAATTATTCAACCACATTATTCCTCGTTCTTCACTCTGTAAGTTCACTCTCCTGTATTTTTTACCTATTCGACAAAATAATCCGAGAAAATTACGTTAAACCAAACATTCAAAGCTCGCGCTCATATAAAAACCATTGTATTGCTAGGCTCGAATGGGACCGACGGTTTCCGTTCGTGCGACGTTGCCAGTATCTCAGCACGGCTTGTTAGTTGAAGACGGCTGTGGTAGCATCGAACACCAACTTTCAGACTTGAAGGCTCACCCTCCACGGCGCCTCGAATACCGCCCTCCACGGCGCCTCGAATACCGCCCTTCACGCCCTCCCACCGATTCTGGATCGGATACCAAACATACATACCGATTGGCACGCGAATAGCGGCGATTATAATCAGTATACCGATTGTCCCGTCACGTAGGTCTCGGTTCCCTTGTTATTTTGAAATACTGGAACTAATTTTGATACAACGTATATTTAATAAATCAACAAGGAGGTCTGTATTTTTGAATGCGAATAAGTAATTAGTACAAATGCAAAACTTAAAGTATTTTCCACATATGCTCAGCAATTAAACAACAATGGTAGATAACGGGAGAAAAACAACTACTTTCCTGGTTAGTGACTATTAAGGGCGCCCATAAGGTGAATATCTAGGGAAGGTAACAGTCATTTTATGATGCTTTTCAAACTTGGTGTGTTTTGCTTCGTAAGTTTCGAGTTTGGTAAAAGAAGACATGAAAACAGTAACAATCAATTCGAATCTAAAAATGGGTTTTGATTTCTTGTTGATTTTTTTGTCGATTATATTTCCATTATTTTTTTCGAAATGAAAACAGATCTCTTGTTATGCTCTGGGAGGGGAGGGGGAATTGCTACCTATAATCCCCCCGTAGGACCATCCTTGATGATGACTGTTCCACTCATCTCAAAATACTCACATAATCTGACCTATTACAAGCCAAAGAAACTTGTATTATCGTGAGAACACTTTCCGCCTTTCAATTATGATTGATCTATCAGAGTTGGTGTTTTCAACGATGTATCCAAGCAAATTCAGTCAGTTTGACATAAAATAATTATAGCTGTAGATGTCAGAATGAATCTCTTTGGTTATATGGCGTGTTCATTTATAATAAATGTATATTATGCTTCGTGAAATAGTCTAGCGAAATATCACTCTATTCTGATTATCTTCTCATAATTTTGTCTTTCATTATTAACTCCAATTGTCACCATAGTATCATAACAATACCACTCGTCCTGACGCACTCCTGGTGTTGCTCGCCAGCACATTGATGTTAACAATGAATATGGTACAATATTTTGAGATCTACAAAAACAAATCAAGATTATTTTGACTTTTACATGATGTGATGGAACGCGGGGCTACATGATTTACGATTTTTATTAAATGAATCACTCTGTATTTTTTCAAATATTTTGATTCGTTATTATCTTGTCTACAAAGCAACTTTCTTTGCGGCGTTGCTAAGTTAATTAGAATGTTGATTCTAAAATGCCTGCTGATCCTCTTTTTCAAAATATTCATCCAAAATTATGCACAAGCTTTGAGTAAACTTCAAATATCGCTTTAATGAAGTCATAATTGAGAGATATCATTCTGGGTGATTTATAGCTAACTGTCAATGTTGACTTTTTAGAATGGTCATAACTGTTGTTTCAAATGGAACACCCAGTATAATTCATTGGGGATGCATTCCCATTCACATTCTCTGTCATCTGATGTTATATTTCCTATATCATTAGTAAGTATTTCTCGGGATATAAATCTATTTTTCTTGAATTATCTCTTTTATGTAATATCAAACTGAAAAATCATTGATCATTGCTATAATTTTCGTCTAGTAAGCATGCCGATCTCGATATTATCGATATAATTTCGTTGGTATCATCATAGTATTACCTATGATAATTTCGCGAAAATTGCTATTATGCATGAGCATAAATAAATTAAACAATGTGTGAATTTCTAAAACTGGAAACTTTAGATGTAGGATACATGATATCAGATAAAAGAGAATGAAAAAAGGAACGCATTTATACTGAAATATACAGGGTGTTCCATATGAAATAACGAAGTTATGACACATTGACTGTTCATCATGTAAGATAACTCTTCTTCATTGAAGCGATAGTCGAAGTATCATCAAGGCTCTTGTATAATTTTGGATAAAAATTTTATAAAAATATCACAAATGGCTTAACACAACGAGAGAGACTAATGACTGAGATGAAAATTGAATTAAAATGTTTATTTCCTGTCATACCAAGGGTAAATTATGTGATATCGAAGACTGGAACATTTGGCACGATAATACACTACACTGTTTTACCACCAACCAAACCGATTTCTTAAACGCCCCGACACGTGTTTCGCTAACTATGTTAGCATCTTCAGGAAAAGATCAAAACTGAAAACTAGTTTAAATCGGTTTGGTTAGTGGTAAAACAGTGTAGTGGATAAATTATGTGTAAACCAATGGTATATAATTAGTTTATTTCTGGGGTAATTATCATAATGATAATATTATGATTCATTCAATCGTTCAATATTTTATTTTGGTTATTTTAATATTAGTTTCATTAATATAAATCTATTTAGATAATTCAACGGTATATAATTAGTTTATTTCTGGGGTAATTATCATAATGATAATATTATGATTCATTCAATCGTTCAATATTTTATTTTGGTTATTTTAATATTAGTTTCATTAATATAAATCTATTTAGATAATTCAACAATATTATTTGTGCCACTGGGTACAAATCAAATATCGAGCCTCGATATCGATATCGATTGACACGCGCATGAGCGGTTTTGTGAGAACGCGGAGATAAGACATTTTTGAATTCAACCAAATTGTAAAAGCAGAAGTGATAAGACGCGCGCACATATATCGTCGTATATCGTCCACGTTATTTTCTAACTGCATAATTAAGTGGTCCTTATCAAGCAAGAAGATCGACCTCCAGCAAGGGCGAGTTCAGATGGTACTGGTGAGTCATCTCTTGGTCTCTGAAAGGCATTTAATTTTTTAATTACATCAATTGAATTTCCTATTATCAACTTTTATGTGCCGTATGCGCACATTTATGGTCCGATTCGAGCCAAGGATACTGAATTGGAGTTTAATGCAACAATTATTGTAGTTTCAATATTCTCAAATATTCAAAAACCACCAGATTACACAAACTTTGAGTTTCCATTTGAATAATCCTCATTAATAAAAT